ATGTGTTTAATGAATGATTTCCCGTTTTTTCTTAATTATTAGTGTAAAGGCCTATCTATGATAAAATATTTACTATCGACGATAAATTGTTGTGTTATATAGTTTATTGTTTGTAGCGTTGGTAGTTCGTCGAAAGTCTCTTGTTAATTACAACAATTTTCATTCATTTTATGAATAAATTGTGAAAAATATTCTAAAAACTAAGAAAATGCTCTACAATCGTCAAAAATTCCCTATAAATGCATTTAAGATTGATTCAATCAAAAAATTAAAAAAGATGCAAAAAAAAAAAAAATTACTAATCTAAAATAAAATAATCAGTATCACCCAAAACATATTTTATACTTACAGCTACGAATCAACGTTTTGAAACAACAGAAAAAAAGATACCTTTGCATCAAAATCCCAGCCCTAAAAATAAGTTTTATCATATGATTTTTAAAAATTTTAACTCCCCCTTGCCTACAAGAAATGATTGAAAATACGCCACTGTCTATACGAAGTGTGGTTATTTAAAAACGAGATTTTCGTTATAAACGTTATTTATTTTGAAAATTATAATAATTTTCCCCTTCTATGTTCTTCATTCACTTAATTATACATGGTTTTATACGATTCTTCCATTGTTTAAAGCAGTGTTGCAGCTCATCAGGTATCAAACTCTTAAGCAAGTCCACCGCTTTGGTCTTCACTTCTTTAACGGATTGAAAATGAGTCTCCTTCAACGTAGTTTTTATTTTTAGTAATAAATAGAAGTCGCAAGGTGTTAAATCTAGCGAATTTGGAGGATGCTCGAGTACTAGAATAATGTCAAAGCAAATGTTTTATCAATTGCCTCTTTGGTTTTAACTGAGATGTTTTGGTGCCATTTTTGTATAGACTTTGTTCATGTGTAAATTTTTGTATACAATTTGTTGAACTATTTTTTTTTGTCTGCCTTCAATACTGAAACGTCAATCGTTTTGGATATTTTTTCATTTTTTTTTTATGTTCTCATCAGTTTTTGATATGTAAAGAAGACTAGGATGATTATTACCTTCCACCTCTTCTAATCCATCTTTAAACCTCTTATGCCACTCAAAAACTCGAGTACGTGACATAGTATCCTTCTCATACATCTCGGTAAACATGTTGAGGTATTCTGTAGGACAATTTTTTAATTTAACAAGAAATTTTAAATTGATAAGCTGTTTGACTTTTAAATTAGGCATCATTTCGGCAGTTTTGTAAGATATTGTTCACTTTAAACAACGCGTGAATCCGAACTAATTAATTCAAAGAGATTAAAATGGAGTTATTTGATGTATTGTCTTGTTTAGTTGAGAACTATGTAGTATGTACCTATGTCACAATTATCCAGCAATAAGAGTTCATTATGCTCTAAACAGAAAATAATCCCGTTTTATTATAGTAACATCTCGTATCTTAAATAAAATATATTTTTTAAGCTTAATACTTTTTTAGTTTATAAAGGGTATTTTAAAAAGTTACTGCAATATTTATAGTATTAAGTGTAGAAATTCGTCAAAAAATATTCAAAAAAATAAATTGGGATTATGTCATGTGAAAAAAATAGGGATGATAAAACGCATTTACATACATATTATGACTATATATTCATGTTTTTTATAAATATTTAATTTAAATAATAATATATATATTCTAAATATAATATAGGACTTAAAAATTTCAAACAGTTTCAGAAGTAGCAACATTTATATGTTTATACATAAACTCTTTCGCTTCTGCTTTGCAAATTATTTAAACCTACTGATCCATGACATTGACTCTGATAACATCCCAGGAAATCCTCTGAGATTAAAAAAACTGGTGTTAAGATTTATCAACATAAAAAATATTTATAGGTATCACGTCAAAAGTATAATAAAAAGATTATCCAACAATAATTTTTGGGTAATCTTTTTTATCTATTATTTTGTGTCTAAATAACTTACTACCAACGTATATATTGTCACATAATATCATTATTTTAAATAGATTTAAACTTTTTTTTATAGATTTTATTTATTTTAATAATGAGTGAATTATGAGCATTTTTAGATATTAATATATTATGTACTCAAAACTCGTTTAAAAATTAAAATACTGTAAAAATCCTTAACCTAACTAGAGAACACAGATAATGTTTGTACCTTAAAATTTAATAATAGGATTATTTCACCTTAATACTGATACAATTTTTCTCCTAGGCTAGACTACTTTTGTATTTAAAATAAAAGGTAACATAATATAAATTAAAACTAATAAAGATTACAAAATATTTATTTACTATATAGGTACTTTGCTTTTAAAGTTCAAATATTAGAAATTTAGGCTTTAATTTGATAAATGATTTTATTTTCATTTTTGATGCAGATACTGAAGAATAATAAATATCAATATGTTATACTTGACTAATTTAAAATTTTACCTGAGAATTGATAATTTAGATAAAATTATAAAAGTAATTATTTTTTTTTATAGTTTTCAATTATTCTTTTGAAAAGAATAATTTAAATAGCATATATTATATTTTACTACCAATTTATATTTTTATTTCTAATCTAAAATAATTGTTATAGGATAATATTAATTTAAATTAAAAATTGTAAGACGAATAACTGAATAGAAATTTAAAGTGAATTATAGAGTTTAATATAAATGTGCCATAATATGATATAAACGTCATATCTACGCAATCTCGTAAAATATTTCCTATTTTAGGCACAAAGACAAAATGCATTTTAAAGTTATTGATTTTTCCTAACAAGATCAAATCGATTTTTATAAAAAGACAAACATAATTAATTGAAATTCAATGTTTTATAACATACAAAAATTTTTAAATATACAATATTAATATATAATCTATATGTATATGTTTATTTATTATCGAGTGCACAAAGTGGGCGCGTATAACAATTTAAAAACTTATTCATTTGAATCCTATTTTTATTGAAAAATAAATCTTGTTAGAAACACATATTGTTATTTGTTAGAACTGAATTTTTATTGCATCATATAACATTGGAATCGTAATTTGTTTGAAATATAATATTATGTCACCATGTCGAAAACAAATGCGCTCGAAAATCTAATTCATGTGGAAAATATTGTGTTGGAAACATATATTATGTAAATGTGTTTTAAGAAGTTGAAACTGCGTAGTCTGTTATGTACTGAACAATATTTTGTAGAAATCAAATTTATTCAGAAACTTATTTTTTATGAAGAATATTTCATTGGTAATTTATATTATTAGGTTAGTGTACGGTTCGAAATGAATAGTTTTCTGATTATGTATGCTTCTGGATAATTTGAGCCAATAATAGTATTCCGTCAAAATATGTTTCTATTAAATATGATTCCAAATCATATTTTCCACCGGTTTAATTTACAAAGGCATACCTACGCTTATATATACCAATAAATACGCTTTTCAAATAAAAAAAGTTTTCGAATAACTACGTTATCAACAAAATATATTTTCAAATAAATAATTTTCAAATGTTTACGTTACAGCCAATTAGTTTCCCGCATAATAAACGGTTTCGAGAGAATTTCAATGACAAGGGCAATATTATGTTGAAAAATACTTTTAAAATACTAATTTAATTATGGTACCTATATTGACATTACAAAAAAAATAAAAAAATAGTGACAGTTGATGAGAGATATTAAAACGATATTGTTATAAATTATTATATTTATATGCAGTTGCATAACTGGATAAAAAACAAAGTGTGAAATAATTTATTCACCAAAATCTATACCACAACCTAATTATTTTATTTTTAGATTAGTCTTGAAACTCATTTTATGGCTTGGAAACAAATCAAGAGTACCCACATATGACATATCATTAAATAATATCAAGCACATAAGTTCATTAAAAAAAAGGTGCTATAATACTTCACTAATACTTGTTGCCGATAATCCTGTAATCATAATAATTCATGAAATAATATTATTGAGTTATTTTTGTTGCCTAGATATTTGATAGTATGGTAAACGTTAAAATCAAGACATATTATATACAACGCGAGAAACGTCAAATTAATTTCCTCGAGTATAATGTTATGCGATAATTTGCAGGAAAAAATATTGTTACCAGCTATATCGTAAATGCACGAGTTAAACGAATTGTATTCTTTCTTCACTTTAGAAGATTTCAAGATTTCTATATTGTTGGCATATCTGGAAGGGCAAAATGACGATACCTTTGCTCCAAACCGCTAGAATTTCAAGGGAGACAAGTTACCCCCTTTCTTTAACTATTACACAACTGTCATTACTCGCTACATGTGAATGACACAAGTGTGGATATCTACTGTATCGAATATTATCACGTGTGATCGGCGTTCCGTATACATGACGTGTATAATAGGTACGTTTTCAAAGTAGTTTCTATACAGTCGATAGGTCGTTTCCTATAAGTGTCTATCTTAAAAATGTCGTTCAGGACTTGGGAGAGCGCCAACGCAGTACGATTAATATCGGTCAATGGTCGGAAAAAGTCGGTTGTATAGAGTACTACACCCCTCTGATTTGCGCGCGTACGGAAATCCGTTGAAATCGCCGGCGTTGCCGCCGCCGTCATTGGTCGGTTACACGTCCGTGGCGGGTGTAAAAACGGTCGGACGGTCAGACCGCGTCGTGGTCGTCGTCGTGTGCGTGGAGGAGGTTAGAGCGCGCGCTGCACGGACGACGATACACGGTGGTTGTCTCGGAGGGGTTTTGGTGGGGGTTCGCGCGTCGAGGAGTGGTATACGGCCGTCGGTGGAGGACCGCGAGAGCGTACGCGTAACGATGCGATGTGAATCACGTGTGCGTGTGTGTGTGTGTGTTGGCGTGTGAACGCCGCCTTGCCGGTTCCCACCGCGTGCGCGTGGAAACCGGTTACTCGCCACCGTCGCCGCACCGTTGGGGTGCACGGCCGGGCGGTGGACGTGTGGAGGGGGTTCTCCGGGAATGTACGTTACGAAATTTTCTACGGCGTCGACGACAGTCGCACGGGCCCGTTTGTAACCGTCGTTCGTCAGTCGCCGTCGCCGTCGCCGTCGTAGGCGCGCGTCCTCGTATCACGCCGCCGAGTTTCTTTCCCACACCCCTTCCCCGTTCGCCGTCAACGTCGCTGATAATAATAAGAAAATAACGCGAGTCCACGGCAAAATTCCGCGGTTTCACTGTCTTGTGCGCGCGCGTCGTCGGTCAACACGGTATCACCTGTTTAATTGATATAACATAATATAATATCTATCTCCCGTCGACGAATTATAAATATTCGTTTCAGTTCGGGGTTTGTGTCGTCTTTTATCCGCAAATGTCGTCTGACGTGTTCAAATCGTGATTAGTTTCGGTGGCGAGTCGCGCGTGTTTTTGTGTCTGTGCGCGCGTGTGTGTGATGCCGTTGTCGTTCAAAAAAATCTTCTCGCGAAAACTGCTGTTCAGCCCAAAAGTCATGGGTAACGCGGCGTCGCATCACGAACCGTTGGACCGGGTCGCCGGTCACGCGGGCTCGACGTTCCGGCGTTCGGCCAGTTGTCGGCACAGCAAATCTTCCAAGGTACGACGATCGTCCGCGACGACGGACAACGCATTGTAATAGTACTAATAGTATTAACGACGTCCCAGTAAAACCCGTCCGTTATGAGGGACGCGCGGGCTAATCGCCGTCCCGAGTAACGACGACTGCGACGACGACGACGACGACGTCGTCGTTGTCGATGTCACCCGCGGGCGACGGTAAATCGAAAATCCGCGTTTGTCGTCGTCGTCACTACAATATAGTCTCGTCCGCACGACCGTGTAAAATATAATTAGTTATTAGGTTTTATTACTATATTATTGTGCTATGATATGCGCACACACGCGTATACCGGTTGGGCGCGACCTTGTGCTCCGTAGTCCGCCGTGCAATAATACTATTATGCTAATAATATAAATTATTATTCCCGTGTAGTTAATGTACCTGCGCTATAATATTATTGTGTTCACGTTTCGAGAATACACCCGACGCACATTGTTTGTATTATGTATGTATGATATTGCGTAGCCTGCGGTGGGTGGGCGTTTTACCGATAAAAAATACGGATATTGCAAAGATTTATTTTATCGCGCGATCCGCGACGAGCGACAACTGAAATAAATCGGCTACGACTCGGCAGGTTGTGCACAACACGTTTCGCGTTACGACGTCGATCACTTCAATCAATGGTTTTTGTGTGTTGTGTGGTAGGGTAGGTGGGTGGGTGGAGGAGAGAGAGATAGTTGACTGGTTATAAAGTTACAACCAACATAAAATTATTTATTTTTATTTGTTGATAAGTATTTCAGCTCGAATAGTTGGTTAATTTATTAATTACAATAAATTGACAAAATACTGAAGAATTCGTTTTACGATTAGTTTTTTCCAATTGATTCTATAAAAACAATACCTTCGTTGAGTTAAAATCATATTCAAATTCAAATTTAATTATCTTTGTGTTATGTACCTATACATCTACCTACAATGGTTTTAAATTTAAACCAAAAAATTTGTATTTTATTTTACACAAAGATTTAATTGCCCAAACTACAGCCACTGCATATTATTAAGTAATAGTTAGACACACGTTTAAAAAAACTAAAAGTTTAACAACCGAAAATAAATAATTGATTTATTTTAAACAGAGTTAAGTTTATTTTATTTTATAAAAAATGTAGGCAAGTATTATGTAAGTACTTTGTAAAATATTAATGGTAGTTGTGCAATAATTTTCCTTTTCTTTCAAACTACCTTAAAATCCGTTTCTCGCGTGATGTCGAAACATTTTTGGGACCATGTGAACTTTGATAGTCAATAGCGTGTTCAGTGAAGAGAATACTACACGTTATATACATAATATTGTTATATTATGTTAGTTCGTTTCGTTTCTATGTTTTGCTTTATTTTACGTAATTGTGTGCGTTTCTCGAGGTTCCTTTTGTTATTCAATTTTGTTTTTTGTTTTTGTATGAGTTTATAATGTTTTTAATAGTTACAATTTATAACAATTAACATTGCCAGATGCGGTTCTAGGACTACATTTTCTTACAGGCAAAAGTAGATTTATAATTAGGTATTAACTATGAATAATATTCCTTATCCCCCCCCTCTTCCCCACGATATTTTTTAATAAAATATTTATACTTATGGCTTCCATAAATACCTTAAATATTAGCAATAGGTACATCATAACATATAGCTTTATTTTTATTTTTATAAGAGTTACACAATCTATACTAAAAGCACAATAAGCGTATTTGCAGAAAGAAAGAAAACACAGGATAGTACGGGGGTAAGAAGTCACCCACTAGCAACACTTGGCATGAGCACGGATTATGTTAATCTATGACTTAGTAGAGAATAAGAGTGAGGTGAACAGCGAGGAATAGATCGTTGGAAGTTATAAGATATTAGGAGGTCCCTGCTCCATCTCCTAACATGTAGCTTAAAATATTTATAATATTAATTATAATAGGTAGGTAATAAAGATTTTAAATAAAAGAAAAATAGAGAAATCTTTTGATACAAAACAGCTTTAAAAGCTCTGAAAATTTTTTTGTTGTTCAAAAATGTCCTTCCAAACAAATTTCTTGCAACTTCAATTTTTATTTGTGAGTCAATCATAGTTGTAACACTGCCTTGCATTTTAGAATTATTCCATTCTTTAAATTAAGCCAATGTTAATTTGTGTGTGTCACATTTATCATGTAATTTAATCATACTGCCTATAAGTTTCCAGTCTGAATAGCCATGAATTGTTAGATTACCAGCATTAAGATTACAGAGTTGACTTGGTTGCAAAAATGTTCACAATAATAACAAAAAATTTGATCAAATTGTATGGAGTACTTAATTTATGGATACTGTTTATACCAAGTACTATTAAAGTACCGTTTATTTTTACCCACGGATTTGTAAGGATAAACAATATTTGATTGTATAGAAGGTTGATCATAGTTTAAATCTAAGTTTAATATTTTTAAAGATTTTACCGATTGTCTAGTCGGTTCTAGGTTAAAAGCAATATTACTATTTACACTGGTATTTTTACTAGCTGAAGATTCATTCGTATGTACTGGTGAAGATTTTGATGTGTCTTCTTTAACTGTTTTTTTAGTCTTATGTTTGGAAAATAGAATTAAAAATGTCTTCATTATACCCGTCATTATATTAAATTATTAGGAACTAAATTCACAATTCATAATGAGAAAAAAAACAATACAATAGTTATATATTCATACAATTTGTTATCGTGTTATGCCGGCTATTATGAAAATAGCTAAGGTTCCGGACGTTAAGTGACGTTTGCTCCTGCCAAATTATGAACTAAGATAGTACTATCTTAGTTTATATACCAATCTCTAATCGTTCTATCAATGCTAGAACAGCATTGCCAGGCTCTTGTAGCAACATTGTCACAAAGACAATAGGTATACGAGCAATATATTAGTAAGTTTGTCATCGATGTAATGATAATAATATAATTTTAAATTATCATCATAGTTTATCAAATGATAAAATATCTTGTTTTTGTATAAAAATTACATTTTTAAAATAAGGGGCACCAGAAATTTTGGTAGGCTAGCTGCTCATACGCTAGAACCATCACTGATACTAGGGTCTTCAACGACGTGAATATCGATTGATGTTTTTTTGTTCATTTAATCACTTCTATAAGTACCTTCGAATACTTGGAACAATTAAGTGCAGTCTTCTGCCCAGACAAGTGACGTTCAACTATTAACCTATACAAATATTAATGTACAAAATAATACCATTACTTAGGTATTTCCAAAATATTTAAATTTCCACGTATTAACTACAAAATATTTTTATGTTTGTAGTTGTTTCAAAATATTGGTATACCTATATTCAACACATATAGATTTAATATAGTGATAGAATAATCTTTTTAATTTGTAATATTGGTGGTCTATACAAAGGCAATATGATTTTACTATTGTGGCCTTATGATAAAAATGTTGAGCATCACTGGTGTAGGCTTTATAAAGACTAGTAAGTCTGTCTGGATACCTCGAATAGTCTTGATACTTAGTGTAACGTGGAATTTTAATGTATTCTATAGAATATATTGTAAAGTTTAACCGTAGGATTTTTGGACTTTTGTTCTATTTTTTAATAAAAACATAGTATTGTCTTTTGAATTTCTTAAACGAATACATTTAAATTGAAATACTAGAATACCCCTTGATGTTATATTATTTGCGTAGTGAAATTTAGCCTCTATGTATTATTATACATGTTAAAATGTATAATATTTACTGCCAGTTCATTTACTTATCACGTATCATGTTTAGATATAGGTATAATGTTATTACTTGATTTTAATCGAATTTAAGTGATATGTCATAAAGTCAATATCGGTAAATAGGTGACATTTGTTTGTTTTATTTTTTTTATCGCGATTAGTGACTAAGTCTTTAAGTATGTCGTCTTAAATGTTAAGAAGATTCTAATATGCTTTAATAAACTATAAGACCAGTTATAGTGGTTATGAATAAAAATTATCGCTAGTTCAGAAATCAGAGCTAATAAAATGTTTAAAACTGCGTAGTATATACTATAATTCATATAACGTAAACAATTAATTAAAAATTAAAAATCTCATTATTTAGCATTGTACTAAAGAATGTTCCACAACCATGGCGTTTGAATTTTGTCAAATGGTAGGGACTCTGGAAACTACAACATAGCCCCACCATCATAAAAAAATTAGACATGCACACTATGCATATATTATTGTAATGGTGACTTTTTAAGGTAGTAGAAATGTTTACACGAATATGTCGCTTATAAAATATGTACGATTGATAACAAACATGTACACTTCAAACGGTGATAATTATTATATTTGATTATACATATGCAAGTTTCATGTACAATGCGACATATAGATGTATATAGGTAAACATAATATGAAAATTAATAAATTCTTAATTGAGAACGTCAAATTATCAATTCATCTTGCATATATTTTTATAGATATTTTTTAAATAATAAAAAGAAAATCAAAAAGTAGACAAAATGTATTTTCCGCAATAAAACTACAGTGTACAGTATAGCGTATAATTGACTTTAAACTGTAAAAATGAATCTTTTCCACGTCCATGAATTGTTTTTCGAAAATGAGATACGTGTAGATCAAATAAATATAATATATATTAGTAATAGTATAAATATCAAGTGTTAATAAAGTTGTTGTTTTTAAATTTGCTTAAAATAATATTTTGCGACAATGCGTTCGAATCAAATAATAACGATGTATTCGTCTAAGTATACGAAAACTCACAGGATATCCGCCGTTTTTATTTCACGTTTCCGATTCGTTAATCTAAAACAGCTTGAGATCGCGGTGTGCAAGAAAACAGCGTATTGCTATATGGGTACCTACAACTACTGTCTTACTTCCCCCTTTCACTCATACGACGACAATGGATAATATAAGGGTGAGTGAGTATTCCCCTCGTAATATATGTATGATGTATGTATTAGATATATTATGTATAAAATGTATAGGG